TTTTAAGACAAAATTTCACTCTGTTACCCAGGCTAGAGTACTGTCGCGTCAGCTAAGCTCAGAGCAACCTCAAACTCCTGGGTTCAGATGATCCTCTTGCTTTATTTAGCCTCCCAGGTAGGTGGGACAGTAGACACCTGCCACCACATCTGGCTAAGTTTTCTATTTTTAGTAGAGATGGGGGTCTCACTGAGGCTGGGCTTGAACTCCTCAGCTCAAGAGATCCTCCACTTCAGCCTCCCAGAGTACCAGGATTATAGGCGTGAGCCACTGTGTTTGGCCAAACTCTGAGAACTTTTTTTTTTTTTTTGCAGCTTTTTGGCTGGGGCTGGGTTTGAACCTGGCACCCTCAGCATATGGGGCCGGCACCCTACTCCTTGAACCACAGGCGCTGCCCACTCTGAGAACTTTTGATGGGTAGATATTTTCATCTGATTAATGTATTCTGAAATGATTTTCCTACACAGAGTAGGTTTGGGAAGGTTTGGAGTGAAGGGAGATACAAGTCTTATCATTTGGAAAGTCAAAGCTAGTTTTAATGTAGTTCAGTATGGAAAGAAGGTATAGAAAATGATGTGTTTAAAGTGTTAGGAAATTAAGGAGACTTAGCAGTATTTGATTCTAAGTAGAAGAGTGAGGGCTAAATTGGAGAAGTTAGGTTTTAGGTAGTTCAGGAATGAGATGACTGGTAACTAAAGATATCTGAGGGGCTAGGGAAGAATAGGTATTTCTGTGAGGTAAGGAAAAGGAAGAAAAGACAGAGATGAAGCCTTCATAGGCAGCAGTGTTAGAGAATGAATGGGAGAATAACTGGAAAAAGCAATAATAAAGTATTAACAAAATTTTGGACAGATGATACTCATTTAATAAGTGCTAACAGTATTCTGTGTGCCCAGCCCTATGCGAAAAACTGTGCTGGCAATGAGGTAGAATGGTTGTAGCTCAAGTAAAATGTGATTATATTACATTCTTTTTCTTTATAGACCTTAGACTTCTGTTCAAGAGATATCTATACAAGACAAGAAAATGCTGGAGACTAAGATAAGTGGTTCAGGCACATCTGGTTAATTGTCTAGACTTTTTTCTTTTTCTTTTTTTAAATATCAAGCCAGGTAAATTCCCTCTCTTTGAAGTTAATTGGCCATTTTAACACAGTAATTTGATCCCACAAGTACCCTAAACCCTAAATCTAAGCCTTCTTCTTCTTCTTCTTCTTTTTTTTTTTTTTTTTTT